CACCATCCTCCCTCCCCACCACCAGTCCTCCACCATCCTCCCTCCCCTTCCACCAGCCCACCATGCAGCCCACCTCAGCTTATTCCTCCTAAGTACTTTCCTCAAAGGACCCACTCCAGTCTCCTGTAACTGCCCACAATCGTCTCCCATCATCCTCACCCAGGACGTCCTAGCCCACAGCCATCCAGCTGGTCTTGGCATGCCCTCCTGTCTCTTGCCAGTCTGTTTTCACACCAAGGCATCTGTTCAGAATATAAATCCTGCCAGGTCTATTGAAAATCCTTCAAGACTCTAATGCCCCTAGTGTAGACTGCCTCCTGGTGGGCCCTTGCCTGCCAGTCCAGCTGTTTCTCACCCACTCTCTGCCTTGGCTCTGCTCTTCCATCCTGCTAGCTTCTCTGTTCCCCTGGCAACCTCACCACGGAGCTTCATACCCACTTGGTCATCCTCCGTTCACCCTGTTACCTCTGCTCAGCCCTGCCGCCTCAGCTTCACTGACTCTTCCTCAGAGATATCTTTCCCCAAACTTCTTATAAGATTGGCTTACCAGACTCCCTTCCCTGTAAACTCTGACCTCAGCTTTCAAACTTGGAGTCATTTTGGTGGGTTTTTGGTTCATGCCGCCTCCTCAGGAAAGTCTAAGTCCTACGAGAGGCAGGAGAGAGGAGGAGGGAGGAGGGAGGACGTTGCTGATTTTGCTGTGTTTTCAGAGCTGCATCACAGGGCCTGGCACACAGGGCAGAAATGGCCCCTATAGATCTATATTATACACTTGGTCCCTAGCTGCTGCTGCTGTTTGGGGACATTCTGGAAACTTTGGGAATTAAAGTCTTGGTGGAGGACTTGGCCACTAAGGATGTATCCTTGAAGTTATACATTGCCCTGGCCCCCTTCTATTGTCCTGTCCACTATGATATGAACTGTTCTGCTCTGGTCCACCCTCCCCTCCATGACTGAAACCTATGAGCTAATGAGCCAATAGAAAGAATGCCTTTAAGTTATTCTATATTTTGGTCAAAGTAACAGGCATATTACAAAAGTTGAATGAATGAATGAATGAATGAATGAAAGATGGTGTCTCAAAGGCCCTACCAAGGCAATTATAACATTAATAATAGTGTTAGTTATTCACGTGTACGTGAGGTCAGGTCTGGGTATGAGTGAAGGTTGCTTGTGATCTGGACAGTTCAACACAATTCTCATTTCTTTTCTTTGGGCTATTTCTGCAGGATAAGGTACAGGAAACCCAGGCCTGCCCACCCCTTGCCTAGTCCTATCTGGTCTAGTGACATCAGGAAGTTTATACTTGAAAAAAAGATAATCCACGTTTCTCCTCGGATAGTAGACTATTAGTCGGGGGAGCATACGAGCCTGGGTTTCTCTTAGTTAGGGTTCTATTGCTGTGCTAAAATCATGAGCATATGCAGCTTGAGGGTGAAATGATTTATTTTAATGCGCAGCTTGTAATCCATCCCCAAGAAGCCTGGGCAGGAACTCAAGTGGGAACCTGGAGGCAGGGGGTGATGCAGAAGCCATGGAGGATTGATGCTTGCTGGCGTGTATCCCTTGGCTTGCTCAGGCTACCTTCATAACCACTCCATACTGCCTGTCCAAGGACGGCCCCACCCACAAGGGACTGGGCCCGCCCACATTCGTCAGTAATAAAAAGAAAGCCCTAAAATGTTGTGCACAGGCAAAGGCTTACAGAGATATTTTCTCAAAGGTCCCTCTGCCCGAATGACTCCCGCTTGTGTCACGCTGACATAAAACTCACTGGAACAAGGTTGATATTTCAAAACGAAAATATCTCCAGCTCCTCATCAACTCATTCTCCCTTAAAGGCATGGGCAGTTCAAGTCACTTCTTCAGAAAAGTTAATATAGTCATCTTCATGTAATTAGCCTTTCTCCTGTTGGAGAGGCTAACAGGGAAAAGAATAAAGACATGACCTTCAAGACGCAAGACGTTTAAAAGTAAACTGATGACTCAGGAAGTGTAGAGCCCGTGGGGAGGGCTGGAAACCCTGAGTGAATGAAGTCCGGACTCAAAGTGTGCTGCTCACATGGACACAGTCATGTCAAGGATCGCAGCTTTAGACCAGGGGGGTAGTGATACTCTGTTTGTCTTTTAACAAATAAAGCTTGCCTGAAGATCAGAGCACAGAACTAAGCCACTAGAGGCCAGGCACTAGGTGGCACACACCTTTACTCTCAGGACTTGGGGACAGATGGATCTCTGTTAGTTCAAGGCCACCCTGAGCTACACGAAATTGATCGAATATAAAAAAGAAAGAGAGCTTGCACAAAGGTGATCCCAGCCCTTGTGATCCCACACCTTTAATCCCAGAACTAGGGAGGTGGAGACAGGAGTGATCTGGCTGGGTGGAGAGAGGAACATAAGGCGGGTGGAGACAGGAGTTCATTGCAGTCTGAGGATGCAGTCTGAGGATAGGATTGGTCCTTTGATCTGAGCATTGGTAAAGCTAAGAACTCTCTAGTGGCCGCTCTGCTTCTCTGATCCTTCAGTTTTCACCTCCTGATAGCTGACTTCGAGTTTTTATTATTAAGACCAACTAGAATTCATGCTACATAGGAGAAAAAGGCAAAACCTTACCCACCCATCCCCACTTTAGGGTGAGGCTCAGAGAGATGGCAAAATCTTTCTTTGGTTGGCGTGGGGATGTCAATAGTGCAGAAAATGTCTGTTATGATTTTTCTCCCTAGATATTTATTGCTTGAAGACTGCACCTACCTGGATTGGCTAAACCTATTCCCTTGACCAACTATGCACAATAAACCCTGCCTTCTTGTTTATCAGGACGTAATAACCCTGCCTTCAACCTACCAAAAGCAATCTACAGGTTCAATGCAATCCCCATCAAAATCCCAGCAAAATATTCACAGACCTTGAAAGAACAATAATCAACTTTCTAAGGAAAAACATAAAACCCAGGATAGCCAAAACAATCTTATACAATAAGTGAACTTCTGGAGGCATCACCATCCCTGTCATCAAGTTCTATTACTGAGCTTCAGTACTGAAAACAGCTTGGTACTGGCATAAAAACAGAGAGGTTGACCAATGGGATCAAATCAAAGACCTGGATATTAATCCCACATACCTATGAACATCTGATTTTTGACAAAGAAGATAAAATTACACAATGGAAAAAGGAAATCATCTTCAACAAATGGTGCTGGCATAACTGGATGTCAATATGTAGAACAATGAAAATAGAGCCATATCTATTCCCATACACAAAACTTAAGTCCAAATGAATTAAAGACCTCAATATAAATCCAAAAACACTGAACCTGATAGAAAAGAAAGTTGTAAGTAGCCTCCAATGCATGGGCACAGGAGACAATTTCCTAAATATAACCCCGGTAGCACAGATACTGAGAGCAACAATAAATAAATAGGACCTCCTGAAACTGAGAAGCTTCTGTAAAGTAAAGATCACAGTCAACAAGACAAAAAGGCAGCCTACTGAATGGGAAAAGATCTTCACCAACCCCACATCAGACAAAGGACTGATTTCCAATATATATAAAGAACTCAAGAAATCAAAATTCCAAATAACCCAATTAAAAATGGGGTACAGAACTAAATGGAGAATTCTCAACAGAATAATCTCAAATGGTCAAAAGATACTTAAGGAAATGCTCAACATCCTTAGCCATTAGGGAAATGCAAATCAAAACAACTCTAAGATACCATTTTATACCACTTGGAATGGCTAAAATAAAAATCACCAAATGATAGCTTATGCTGGAGAGGATGTGGAGTAAGGGGAACACTCATCCATTACAGGTGGGAGTGCAAACTTGTACAACCACTTTGGAAATCAGTATGGCAGTTTCTCAAAAAATTGGGATTCAACCTACCTCAGGATCCAGCAATACCACTCTTGGGCATATACCCAAAAGATGCTAAGTCATACTCCAAAACATTTGTTCAACTATGTTCATAGCAGCATTACTTGTAATAGCCAGAATCTGGAAACAACCTAGATGCCCCTCAGTGGGAGAATGGATAAAGAAAATGTGGCACATTTACACATTAGAGTACTACGCAGTAGTAAAAAAAACCAATGACATCTTGAAATTTTCATGCAAAATGGATCGAACTAGAAAACACCATTCTGAGTAAGGTAACCCAGACCCCAAAAGATGAATATGGTATGTACTCACTCATAAGTGGTTACTAGCTATAAACAAAGGATATCAAGTCTATAGTTCATGATTCTAGTGAAGCTAAGTAACAAGGTGAACCCTAAGAAAAACATGTAGATCCACCTGGAAAGTCGAAATAGACAAGATCACCTGACAAAATTGGGAGCATGGGGGTGGGGGGAGAAGGGAGGGTGAAAGGGAAAGAGGAGGGGGGAAGGGGAGGGGGAGGAGAACTTGAGGGAATGGGATAGTCAAGATAGAGGAAGGACAGCGAAGAGAGCAAGGAAAGAGATTATCTTGATTAAGGGAGCCATTATGGGGCTAGCAAGAAACCTGGCTCTAGAGAAGTTCCCAGGAATCCACAAGGATGAATACAGCTAAAACCCTAAGCAATAGAGAGGGGGCTGAACTGGACTTGCCCTAGAGTCACACTGATGACTATCTTAAATGTCACCATAAAATCTTCATCTAGCAACTGATGGAAACAGAGGCAGAGACCTTCAGCAGAGAACTGGACTGAGCTCCCAAAGTCCAGCTGAAGAGTAGGAGGAGTAAAAATATGAGCTAAGAGCTCAAGACCATGATGGTGACACCCACTGAAACAGTCTACCTGAGCTAATGGGAGCTCACCAACACCAGTCAGACAGGGAGGGAACAGGCATAGGTCCAAACTTTTCCCTCTGAAAGTGGTTGACAAAGATGGGGCAGACTAATGGGCCCCTGGCAGTGACACCAGGATTTATCCCTACTGCTTGTCCTGGCTTTTTTGGAACCCATTCTCTTTGGATGGATACCTTGCTCAGTCTAGATATAGTAGGAAGGGCCTCGGACCTTCCCCAAAGCAGTGTGCTTTACCCTCTCTGAGGAGTGGATGAGGGTGGTGGGAAGGGTTAAGTGGAGGAAATGGGAGGAGAGGAGGGAGTGGGAACTTGGATTGGAATGTATAATGGAAAAAGATAGTTTGTTTTCTTTTAAAAGAATAAAATAAAAATAACCCCGCCTCCTTCCTCAGTTGTGTGCAATAACCCTACTCTCTGTCGCACTGTATATAGTAAACATGCTAAGCTTCCATGCTCTTGAGGCTTCTCCATTCCAGAGCCCAGTCCACTCAGCCCAGCTTTTCCATGTGTCTGACTTCTCTTCATTTCCTCACCACCACAGTCAGGTTCACACGGGAGCCACACTGAATGCAGCAATACCTACTTCTAAATAGCCTATCCCCACCTTAAAAACAAATCTGAACATGAGTGGGTGCTTCACTCCAAGACGAAATAAAAACTCATTTACACAGAATATTGACAAGGCGTACCAAGTGAAGAATACCTCTGCATATAATAACACATAAGAATGTAATCTTTCCTTCATTTATTAGTAGAATTTTGTTCCAGAGCTAATTTAACATAAATTACAACATACGAAACATGGCAAGCTAATACAGGTATAAAAAAAGCAAAACTTCAGACTAAGGAGGAAAAGTCAAAAAATAAAGGCAGAAAGAGAAAACAGAGGGATTGGGCTATTTTCCATGGGCTGTAGTACTGAACACTCTACTTTGGGCGAGAGATGCTCGTGTGTTTTCAGGAGCTATTACCTCTTTTTCTTCCTGCAGAACCTGCAGTTGTCTGTGTAGCAAGCACACCCATGCTCAGCCATACAGGAGGAACCACAGTTGATCTTAGAGAGTCATGGATCCCTCAGGGACCAGGGCCTAGATTGTTCTGGAGCAAAAGAATGTCCTCATTGCTTCAGACTTAGCGGTATCTCTTGAACTGCCTGTGTCCCAACAGAATACTTTCTAATATGCCTTCAAACTTTCCAGTCATTAATGCCAAAAGAGTCAACTGAATTCTCCTAGAACAAACTGAAACTTGTTTCAGACCCCCCCCCCAAAAAAAAACACAGTGTCTGTAAGACCAAAGGAGTTCAGGGTCTGTAGAGCACTACTCAAATGTCTGATGTAGTTAAAACTCTGGAAGAAAGTCCCGACGATAGCGGAACCACCATCAGCATCTGAGCCGTAGGCTTCTTCCTTATACACAATTTATTACCCGCTCTGAAAGTTTCTTCTCCACATTCCTCTGAGGTTATATACTATTCTTGAGCCAAATGAAAAGGCATTTAATAAATTAATGTGGACACTGAGTGCAGAGACATTGTTCCTTGGGATCTGACCTTTGGTTTCTATATCCAAATATAGAAATATATAGCAAATAGGGTGTGGGGGTGGGGAAATGTCTAGATGCTTCTCTTGTACAAAAGAACACGTGTCTAGTCTATGTATCTCCTCGGGAAAGGCTCTTAGGCATTTAGCATACGAGAGAAATATCACATTCTTTAAGGCGTTCTTTTCCTCTCTGAACACTGAGATGAGATTTTATTTTTGCAGAAGCTTGTTTTGTGTAGGAGCAAGACTGTCTCAGCTTATGTTTATTGTTATTATTTATATCTGGGTTAGGAGAGAAAAAAAACAAACAGAATACTGGTAGGAAGAATGAGTCTTTCTGCCTGATGCCTTGACTGCATAAGTCCTCAGCCCCCACCCTGCCAGAGATTCCCGCCCACGGGGAATCGACCCCGTGGGAGTGGGAGGAAGCCCATTTCTACTTTACTGAGAAGAGCCCGCTAATGTGGCCCTGTGAGGTGCGTCTTTGGAAAGGAACACCGCCCATACCGGGAAGGCTTGAGGAGACTCGAGCTCTTGCCATTGCTAAAAGCTGATGATATCTTCCTGATGACTTCATCCCCAAATGGAAGTGAGCTCCCAGCTTCAGTCTTAGTGAAGTCTCAGAAAAAGAGCAGTTTGGAAAACACAGAGAGACAGACCGCATTTTCTCTTCTGAATTAAGTGAAGGAGCCACTGTTGAGACCCTGGGATAAAACCACATTCTCTACAGCACTGATAACAACTGCGAAGGCACACGGAGAGAAACATGAGAAGCAGCCGGTGGTATTTCTCAGTGGGGCTCTTGAGAGAGGAACACAGGACTTAAATGCTCACCCATGCGCTGTACCTCTGCACGCCGTTTGTTCTGACCCTTCAGACAAGTCTCTAGCTTTCTTTTCAGAAAAAGGGACTAGCTCCATTCCAACTGACGGTAGCCTCTCTCCATTTAGTTCTGATTGCCATTTCCACCGGTGAAAACCGTCTTCCTGATCCATGTTTATCCTCACGGCGCTCCCCTTCCCAGTGATGCGAGTGAGTATCTGAGGATGGAACGGGAGCATTGACATCCAGGCCCACTGACCTAGTCCCGAAGAAGCCAGCACACAAGGAAAAGAGACAAGGTGGGTGGGGCTGGCCCAGGGAGCCTTAGAACTGACTAGAAGGAGGGAAAGTCTTACAGACGGTGTACTGAAATACCCTTTCAAAGTAGGTCCGTAGTAGCCAGGCTTGCTGTGTGTTGGGTTGTGAATATCCTTGTCATTTAACGCAACACTAGGTGACACATAGGATCAGGCACATGTCACTGATATTACCAGGAAAACAGGTGACAGGAAAGCTCAACCCTTTTCGAGAAGAGATTGTTTGGGGGTAAAATCTAGAAAGGGAAGCTAGAAGTTGTTTTCCAGGCTAGGTTGTCTCCCATGAACCAGGTGACATTTCAGAAGTACTTAAAATGTCATCACCGTGCTTCATTGATTCATTTCGTGGCTGAACATAGCGACCACACAACCAAAAATAGATATCAGAGTACCTGCTTCACATGGCTAGCGGGAATTGGATGCCTGTGTTATACACGCTCTCAACACCATACTCAGAATAGATCACGTGGGACGTTTGTAAGATGAGAAAAATGGGGTTTACCTCAGAGGTCGGTAAAGGAAAAATGGTAATAGCTGTTAAAGAACATGCAGCCAATGTCACACTAAAGTAAATGCATTAATATACATTTCTCATAATTAAAGAAAAGAGCTGCACGAATTTGTTCTTAGAGTCATTTCTAGATGCAGAGAGAACAGCAAAATTTAGTAAACCCCAGGCTTATGCTGCTAAATGCAAAGCCAGCCATTGACAAAATCCCATAAATGAAACCAAGGTTGCTGGACAGAGTTCAAGTTTGTCCACTATTAATGTCTTGTCAAAGGTACCAGTATTTAAAGACTTCTTAAGATTAATCATTTTTTCCTCATGAATTTAAGGAACTGAAGTTGTAATTGAGACAAAAGCAGTCTGCTCATCTGTGATTCTCCCAGCATCTGCTGAAGGTTTGCAAGAACTTATGCCCAGTGGGTTCCTGGCATCTGGCTCAGAGTTTGCACTCAGAAATGTCTTCTGAATTAAGATGAACAGAAATGCATTCTTACTTCAGCCGCTATGTCACTGGATGACCGACCGTCTCGTGTTTGCTCATATAAAGATTGGCCAGGCAGAGCTCTGTGTCTCCTTTGCTTTTGCATGCCTGTCCTGGGGCTTCGAATGGAGAGACCTCATGCTTAAAGAAAGGGCTGTGGAGAAATAGTTCTGGAAATTTGACCCTTCAAACTTTATTTTTTATCTTATCTAGAATTTGTTTATTTTTCCATGTTATTTCTGACACTAACACGTACATATGTGCACACACACACACACACACACACCCCTACATTTTAAAGCCCCACATGACAATGGATTCATACTAAGGCAGAGGCTTTATTTTAGAAACTGAGTCTAAGTATTTCTTGCAGTGCTAGCACAGAAAACCACACGGTTGCTAAACAACGACGGCCACCCCTCTGAGTGCACTAAAGCACACACTTGGAATCTCAAGTGCTCACCTATTGTAAGATGCATGGGCTTCTTCTGGGAGGGCTGCCCACTGTAAAAGTGCAGATCAAAGACACGCTCCATTTTCCAGTCCGACAAGAGCTGCCTATTTGTGCAGAAAAGGACGCCATAATTTCCATTGAGGTTGCACAGCCAAATAGGAAATGTGGGCGTCTTCAGCATGCTGCCCACCTGGAATGGGAAAGGAGAATGCAGATGAACATCTAGATCTTTCTGATCCTTTCTGAATAAAAGACGCTGACGCATTCTCTTGGTGAAAAAGCAGTCCTGGGCTTCTTGTTGCACATGTAGCTTACAGGCCATTGTATGTGGGATAAAACCCCAAACCAAGACTTTACAGAACACCTCACTTTGCTCTGAATGGGCTATACTTTTTTAAAACGCAGCGGTCTTATGGGGAAGGCAAAGGTTTTCTAGCTTGGCTATAAGGTGACTTGTAACTATCGATGTGGGAAACGAGAAGGCCAATTCTGGGTCACTGACTAGGGTGATTGCTCCCAGTATAATTCCCAAGATTGGACGACGTCTCCTGCAGCAGATGCCAGCTTTCTGGTAACACTAGCCGTTTATACTGGAGGAAGAAGGCGTCTAGGAAATGTGGGAAACACTCTTGTGCACATATGTACCTACAAGTTGGCATGTTGGTGATTGGTGAAGACATACATGCAGCAGAGTATATTGGTTTCATATGACCACGGTGGGCTGGGATTGAGAATGGTGAAGAATTCATCCCAGTTAGATAAAAGTAGAAAAAGACAAGCTTAGTGCAGCGGCAGTGGGCAGAGCAGGGACAGAATGGACTGGTCCTGTTTGTTGGTGGTTTCTTTTTGGTTCCCTCTAGCTTCCTGATATGCAAATAAAGGACCAAGAATGTCAGTTCTTATTGTTCAATTCTTGGCTCTAGGGTTTGCAGGACACGGTTGGTTTTGATTGGTTGTTTTAAGTGGTAAGATGGATCCTCCAGACATTGATATTAGTTCATGATTTGTCGTTCAGTAGACCCTGACACTGTAACATGCAAGCCTGTTGATGGCCTAGAAAGTTTCCAGTTGTATTTTGCAAAGTCAAGAGTCTACGATAGTGCCCCAGGCTTGTTTGCTCCCCACATTTGTGTTTGATAGAGCATCAAGGCCAAACTTGGGTGTTTGAACTCAGGGTCTTTCTTTAAGGCTGAATGGGTTTGTATTGCCTCTATCCTACCCACTGTAGCTGTTCTGCTGGGGCACTGCGGGAGGCAGTCACGAAGGGAAAGCTTCTGGTAAACCTGTTGGTCTGATTTAAAGAACCTGTGGACAACGGGCTGTCTGCTGGTATTGACTGGAAACCACAATGCAACGTCATCAGGACCTAGATTCGTTTGACTCTAGAGAAGACTAGTTTGACAATTCAGCTAAACCTTTGGACACCGGACACAGGAATCAGCCAGTGGTTTCAGAAAAAAGAGTACTCAGAAGAGCCGTCCAAAGTGTTTCCCCAAGACAGCCAGCCCTGGGAGGCTCTCTCTCCCATTTTAATGGCTTGGCTTTTGAGTCTTTTTCTTCTTCACCATGTCTTAAACCATTTTTGGTTTGTTTGTATAGACAGCATTTCCTCTCTAGAATCAGACAGATGCCTCCTTGAGCAATCACTACTAAATAAAGACCAAAGTGGTTTAGGGGGACAATGGAAAAGCACAGTTCTATATAATTGAACAACATTTGGAGTGTAGCTTTAGACGGCAATTGAAGTCAAAGGTCAGAAACATAGGGGCCATACTAAGACACTGAGTATCTCACCTTCGAACCAGGGGCAAATCTACATTAGGTACAGGCAAAGAGAAATCATGGTTGGTTTCAGATACATTTCTCCCAAGTTGTAAAAAAGTATTTAATTATCCATCAGTTAAATGAAACACACTCTTTTCTAGGCATTCTTGCAATAGTACTTTCCTGAGCTAAGATTTATATGTATGAAAATATGATATACAGGACAAGCAATTGTTATTAATATCAATATTTTGAGACCATTTGGTACATAGTCTCAAACTTGCTCTGTAACCCAGGCTGACCTCAAGTTCAGAACCCTCCTGCTTCTGCCTTGGAAGTGCTGAGGTTACTAGCGTGTATCACCACACTCAACTGGAACATGCAACTGTTAATGTAAGAATGGAATGAAGTAACTAGGAGATCGAATGCTGTTTGTGATAAAGTGTCATGCCATTTGAATTCAGGTTGATCTTATGATTGATTTAAAAAAATCAATGAAAGTCCCTGTAAATTCTGGATGGAGGGATGATATACATATATAGGTATACAGATAATATGTATACAAACATTTTCCATAGAACATTTGTAAAACGGCAAAAGTTCTGTTTCTCAGTTGCACATGCCTGGCCTAGTGCTGACACCAGGCACTATCACTTTACAGAGAAAAGCAACGCTTGTCTTTCGTGAACTCAAAGTGACTAGATCCCTTCTGAACCACAAGGACCAGATTTCACCCCGAGCAGGCAGTGTTGCCTGCCTGGAGAGACTGTGGTAGAAGGGAATGCCCCGCATGATGGTACTTTGGGTAACAAGTCAGGAGGTGAGCCTTACGGTTGCCACTGAGCAAACAGCTGGTTTAAAGTAATATAACCGGTCGACCAGAAACTAAGATCTTCCAAAGAGATGCTTGTGACTCTTTCTCTGTGTGACTATCACACTATTCAAGTAATGGATCCTAAAGAAATGGAGATTTCTCCAGGGATCTCATGCTAGGAGAAGGAAAAGGCCCCAGCCAAAGGATAAACTCAACTCCTGCACAGATTTCAACCAGTTCTAACACTTTATTGACCACCTTACAGGACTGGAACCTAGACAAGGGCGAGTCAATGACAGGCAGGACCACCCGTTGACTGGGACTGTTTAGGTGTGGACATCCTTGGCCCTCTATTCAAACTCTGATCTCACTTCAGGGCCCAAAGACGGGCTTCAGGGAGGTGACTGGATCTCTCGGTCCCTCTTCCCAATGTGATCACGCTGAATAAATCTCCCTTCCTGCTTTCCACTGTTAATTTAGCTTTTTAAATCTGAAGATGGTGATTGAACCTGACTTGAGCTACAGCTGAGGCCCCCAAATCTGAAAAGAGCAAGTCTTGCAAACATCAAACCAAAGCACTTTCTGGTTGAATCTCGTCAGGTCTCACCCCAACTCCTGTCCTGCTCACACACGCCCATTTGACTGACATTTTTCAGTTTTAAGCATTTTAATTGGTTTTGGATAGACATGGTTTACCAGCCACCCCTCCCCCTTTGCAGGGTTCTAAATATATTTTATTGGTGAGATTCCACCAATTCTGAATTTGTGCATGTTGCCATGGTAAGAAGGAAATTAAATTTGATACAGTGGTACTATAAATAAAATACCTTTCTCCTTAGGTTCACTTATTGTGTAACAAGCCTGGTTGTTTCAGCCCCAGCAGCCAAATCCTCTGTAACGCAAACCTTTCTTTAAGCCAATGTAAAATGATAAGGACAGGAGAGACGGACACATTCCTAACACTAGAGAGCCAGAATTGAGTCCATGTAGGCTTTCCAGTACAACGGTGCTTAGCCAGTGCCTTTGCGCAATGAGCTTAATATTGCAAGTCTCAGAGCCTCAGGCTGGCAATGTGAGCGGGAGAACGGTGTCAGAAGCGTTGTGCTTTCTTCATTGAGCCCGGGTGACAATTCCCATGCATACGTGTTAATGGCCTAGCTTTCTTCTCTGCCACCTGGAACACACACACACTTGATGTAACTTCTCTGGCAGAGATTGCAGGTAGGTTGTAAAAACAAATTCGATCAGGCTTGCGGAGGGTAACCTTGGTGACTTGGTGGTTGAGTGTAGTGAGTTATCGCTTCATTGGCTACTTCCAAGGTTGGCTTTCTTCCCGTCCGACTCTCCAAAGGGAAGACGTAAAGAGAGAAGAGGGTACCATTGGGATGGAAGTAGGCGCTGCCAGGGCTGCCGTGGGAACGATTCTGGCAAGACCTAAATGACTCCAGTCCGTTCTAAAACTCAGAGTTGATTTTTCTTCCCACTGGCAGGTGTAACGATAACGTGAACCTCCTAAGGCTTTTCCAGATGGTGTTAGACTCAAACTGCTTTATGTTCTCACTTAGGTATTGGAGCCTCACACTCGAACTTGTACCTTCAAATAGAAAAGTAACAGGGAGGCTTCAAAATAGTGCCTCGCCTCGTGGGTAGCTGGCTGCTTCCTGCAGGAACTGTCAGTCTGGTGGGCTCTAGGGGGCTTGCCGCTTCATCTGATGAGAGCATCATCTTTTTTTTCTTTTTAAATCTCACCCACTGAGCTGTGACATTGGGATAGAAAAATGTGTGGGTTTTTTATTTTTTATTTTTTTTTGCAATCTCTGCAGTTTTAACACAGAGGAAGGAAAAATTGACTTGGGGAGACAAAGGCAGAGCTGCAGACGGGTTTCTCCTCAGCCACAGATCCCAGCTGAGGAATGGCAGTTACCTTCTGAGCTCAGAAACCTTTCTTCTGCTAGGTTCTCCCCATCACTGCATACACATACCATTCAGATCTATTGCATCCACCAGGACAGGACCCAACAGATACCCTGGAAGCAAAACACACTCAGTTGCACAAATACAGGTCTCCTGCAATGTCACCAACGCCTTGGAGCAGAAAGGAAGGGCCGTGGCTGTGGAGTGTCTCTGAGCCAGCAGCATATGTAACATTGTTCTGAATCCTTCTTTTCTTTCTCAAGCCTGCTCTGCAAGGTGTTTCCATTCCAGGCTTGGGTGTTGTGAAATATTTGACTCTGGGGTCGACTGGAGTCAGCGCAAATGACTACTTGGTGGGCACGCGTCTAAGCACTGTTGAGCTTGTCCTGATGAGGGTGAAAAGTGTCGGCACCTGACAGGTGTGATCTGCCCGTCCAGAACCTGGATGGGGGCAAACACTTTAGAAAGCGTGCAACCAAGCACCTGTGATTCATAAACTCATAACGGCTTTAGCTTTAAATGGCTCCACCGCCATCCACTTCAAAACCCCTGCCACTGTCAAAATGTTAGCGCCCACCGCTAGTGCGTCTGTAGCAAATACTCAAGGTTGCGTAAGACCAACCTGCACTTACATCTGCTTTTTAAAGTGCTAATTATAGCATGCAGTTCCAGGAACTAGTATTTATATATTTATAATTTATTGGAAAATAAATGTCACAGCACAGCAGAGACTGTGAGCTTTGAGTGTAGATGGAATAGGACTCATACATAACCCTGCTCTAACCTGTGTCTCGGGAAGGCTTTGGGCAAGGTTCTCTAAGTCCCTTTGACCTTTCTAATCTCTTAACTGAATCACAGAGCAACGAACTGGATTTAGGATTCTAGCTTTGAGTTATGTGGAGAAGATATCATTGCCAGTAGAAAACCTGGCAAGAACAGGGTCTGTGTGTCCATGGCCATCGGCACTCCAGTGAATGAAGCCACTCCATAATACACCCTCTAGCCCTCTGTTTCTCACCCTCTAGTGAGAAATATGCATGTGAGTCTGTGTGCAAAATGATGTCAGGGCTCCACGAGATGAGCATTGTTTCTGTCCTGACATAGGAGGATGTAATGGAAAGAACAAAAAAGAATACTTCGAAAATCAACCGCGTGTGTACATGTTTTGTATATCCGTGATTGAGAGGCTTAAACAAGACGATTGTCGGCTTGTCGCTGATCTATAATACATTTTTTTCTTTTAAAAAGAAAACCAAACTCCAAGTGCATGACAGAAGCATCGTCATAAATGTCCTCAGGGTTTCAAGCCATTAGTGTACAATTTCGGGTAGTTTTCAGCGAGGGCACGTTTACAGGCATTTCCCTGGGGGAGAGAACGCTGAGTCCAAGAATGAAGGATGAAAAGTCCCACTTTCCCCAAAGCTTGGATTTTATTTCAATGTAGATTTTACAGTGGCCCCAGGTAGTCTCTAGCCTCTGCCCTACTTCGAATTGGCACGCGAACCTTTGGATGGCATCCCGTGGGCTCCTTCATCGTGCCCTCTTCCCGGCAGGAAAGCCCTTACTTTTCTCCCCTATGTGCTGTGTGCTCTCAACTGCCTTTAAGGCCCTTGAAAACATCCTCTTCTTATTAGAGGATATTTTAGGCTCTGCAGGTAATGTTCTTTAGAGCATGGTTTAACGCTGGATCCCTGCGAATTCTTGACTCTGATGCGCTCTGCCTCTTGGTGGTGGCATTTTCTCTGATGTGGTCCTTTTCCTCCGATCAGCTTAGCAGCTGCTTTGCAAACACCTGTCCAATTTTAGCCTCAGCTGAAGCCAGCGGCTCATCCCCCAAAGCCTTGCAAACGTTGAAAGGGAACAAAAGGCTGCCCACCTCGCCAGCACGAACGGGACGACAGTATGCTGTTTCTTCTAGGTTCTGTTGAAAGAGCTGACTTCCCAGGCTCTCCCACCATGGATTTAATCACAGAGTCAAAAGAGTTCATTGAATTCCCTTCTTCCTCCAGAATAGTAATTCTCACCTAGGGACAATTCTGTCCTCACCACCGCCAGGGGACATTTGAAAATGGCTACAAATGTTTGAGGTTGTGATGACGGGATTGGAGCAGCTGGCATCTAGTGGGTTGCAGTGTGGAGCAGAGCTCCGCACTATAGACAAATATCCCCAGTACCCACAGCTGAGAAGCCCTACACGGGACAGGGTTTTCTCGCCCTCACAGACTCTTAGAATGACCTGGGAGATTTGAGGTCATGCGCCCAGCGTCCCTCAGATGAAGTAACACTGTGGTCTACATGGCTTTTTGCTTACAGGACCCTATGCAAAATGAAAAGGCAGGTACTCTCGTTAAAAACTTAACAATGTGGCACTCTAGGTGACAATATAAGTGTCATACTCAGGAAGTTAGTGGGGTTTGAGGATGCCCCAGGCATGGATCATTCAGAACTTTCATTCAGAATGAATAGGCTTAGATTGCAGTCAGGTTGATATCATTGCTATCGCGTTATTCTAGAAAACCAGTTCTCAACCTCTGGGTCGAGAGCCCTTTGGAGGCCAAACAACCTTTTCACAGGGGTCACCTAAGACCATCAAAAACACAAAAACACAGATTTTACATTTTGATTCATAACAGTAGCAAAATTACAGTTATTAACTAGCAATGAACTAATTTTATGAAAATAATTTTATGGTTGAGGTCACCCCAACCTGAGGAACTGTATTAAATGGTCACAGCTGAAGGGGACACACCAGATGAAGGGGAAGGTGAATAAAGTAATCCCAGGATATAATAAGGGGTTCTTTATTTAAGGGGGAACTCAACATCGATCACAATGGGGGAACAGGAACAGAATCCAGCATTTGGGTGTTAGAGCCGAGAGCGAGAGCAAGCGGGTGGGCCCGCATCTTTTTGATACCCAAGGCCATGGCCAACCTAGTCCAGCCTCTCAAAGGCCATTGGCTAAAGGAGGTTCCCCATCACACAGCAGTAGGAATGTTGAGAACCACTCTCCTAGAATAATCAGCATATGCCACGTGAGGCCCACCTAGGACTCAGTTTTGTACCTGGACACGGATCCTTCCGTCTAAGTGATGCTAAGTGAGCCTGGCTGACTGAAGCATTAGAATGCTCTCCACTGTTGTCTGTCAAAAGTCTCACATTTGCACAGAACATTTTGGCTTTCCATCTGTTTGCTTCACACCCGTCCCTTATCTCAGAAATCAGGAGAGACTCAATAGTCATCAGCTCAGAAGGATAAGTGACTGGGCAGGTCTTGCCCCTGCTGAGGTCTCCAATAGCTGTAGATTTCCAGGTAGGATTATTTCCTGTCTCTGTAGGACCTACCTTGCCTTTGCACCAAGGCTTCTAAATACTGCTGGCATGTGGCATGTGGCATGTGACATGTGACATGTGACACGTGGCATGTAGCATAGAAGCCAGTGGCATGAGAAGAAACTTTTAAAACAAGTATCTATTTATTTAAATGCATACAAGGGAAAAGCAATTGCTTGGTTTATATCACCATAGCAATGAAGGTTAAAAACAATCTTAAAATTGAGTTGATTTAAGGAAAAATATCCATAGTAGCACAAGTGACTCAGGGGCAATGCACAAGTTATAAACTACAATGTTGTGAAAGGGCTTTGTCACAATAGATGAGGCCCTAAAATCATTGTCACTTGTATGTTCCACCCTTGGAACTTGATCTAGACTATTTCTCTCATTTTTTTTTTGCAAAACAGGATCTTGACACATTGCTGAGATCTGAGACATAGACAATAATAGACCGTAGATATGTAGTGATTATGTATGGCTAACAGAAAAGCAAAATATGTAAAATGAACCCTTGTTTCTGCCTGAGTTTTCTTCACTGTTTTTTTTTTTTCATTTACTAAGGTCTTAAGTGAACCCCCAGGTTTTCTGGAAAGCGTGATTAGGGACCTTATGACTATAACCCATCTTTTTTCATCCAGGATGCACCCAAGTTTAGTCTTTGCCGTTCATGTAGTGGGATTCTTTGCAGCCATCAAACACACTAAAGGCCAGATTCTCACTAGCGTATGAAGATAAATGTGAGAAAGAGTCCAGGAGAGTAACATAGAATTACACACAAGGAAGAAAAAGAGCAGAAAGCATTTCTGAAAACATAGACCGCTGGAGAATGGAATGGAGTTCATTTCTATTAGTTTATTTGGCACTTCTCATTTGTGTGTGTGTGTGTGTGTGTGTGTGTGTGTGTGTGTGTGGTGTGATGTACTTGGATTATACAATTAAGGAACAGTAAAGAAACTTTGAAAACATATTTGTGCAAAAAAGCTACCAGTCTGTCAGTCAGATGCTATTTTCTTGATGTCACCCAGACACATGCACAAGATGCTGGGCTTGTGAATAACACACACATAACAGCTGGACACAGGTAGAGAGGTAGGTGAGGTTATGAATTGGACGGCTCCTTGTGAGAAATTCTGTACTCATGAAGGGTACCTGTAGCAGGAACGGGAGAACTGGTAGACAGGACAGCAGGATTAGGAGAGGATGGGTATGGGCATCTCTATCAGAGGGAACCACCTCCAGGTAGTGTCAGGGTTACTCCAGAGAGCTGCTGCTTTCCAGAGTCCTTGCCTCTCCAGGCGTCAGGAAGAAAACCACGGTGCAATACATCCTAAGCAACTTTGGTTCGTGATCTGGAGAAAGTGCCTGCCTTCTCACCCTCTCTTTCTTATTCTCTGCTTGTACATGCACGGTTTGCTTTCTGGTCATCAGAAGGTGTGCATCCCCTGAGTTGAAGACGTTTGTGACAGGCATGTCAAAAACAGGGCCCCGGTTCTAGTCTTTGTAAAAAAATGATCAGCAACAGGGGGCACATGTACACTCATTTGCAATTTGCATAAGTAATGGATTTGGAGGACACCAACCACCGGGCTGTGGCTACCTGGACATGAAAGGAAACTTCTTTCTATTCATCTGTGTATTTCAAATATTGTTTTCCAATAAGTGTTCACATGTGGCTTCTACTATATGTAGGCATTAAAACATGGGAAATAAAGTATGAAGGGCATAGCATTGGATGCTTCCATTTAGACCCTATGTGTGTGTGTGTGTGTGTGTGTGTGTGTGTGTGTGAGAGAGAGAGAGAGAGAGAGAGAGAGAGAGAGAGAGAGAGAGAGAGATGGATGGAGGTACACCAAACGTACCAAATGGGAAAAGAGGTTCAGATTTGACACTTTTAAGCATGACAAAATACTTGCATTCTGGTTATAGAGTTAAGAATCAAAGCACTAACCTGTGAGAGTCGGTCATCCTCAGAAGTGTCCTTACCCCACTGCAAGTAGCCAACGTCACTGCGTGCCAGGACTCCATGTAATGTTTCCCCAGACCTTCCTTTCTCATAGCCATTGAAGACATTTGGACTTGCTCTCCCAGTCAAAATCATATTGATAACGGCCTAGATTGAATAGTTGGTTAATATTTACATTATAGGTAGCAAGGACATGGAGACTGTTTTCTTTAAAAAGTATCACAGAAATGGTCTGGGAGGCAGCTCTGGGGAAGGGAGTTTGCCTATCAGGCCTACGGGCCTAGATTCAACCCTCAACACAAAATGATAAAACAATCATTTTAAATGCCCATTTTTTTTTACTATAAAGAATGCAGCTATGCAAACATAGTTCTGGAAAAGCGTATGTGTGATATGAAATTGGTAGAATTAAAACCACAGTTTTGGGGATTTTTGGGTTTTTTTTTCTTTTTTCCTCCCACCCACGTGCAGACTTTTCTTCCTTTGTATTTGTTTTAAATGTGCTTTCCATTGTTATGACTTAGGAAGCACGAAGCTAAAATGTCCGCCATTTGTTTTCTCAGATACTAGGGATACCTGGTGAGTCTTGTCGAGGTATCATGTCTCTGAGATCTCTGGCTTTTGTGGGGACTCTAGGAAGGACTGTGGAAACCAGAGAGTAGGCTCTGGTAGCTTTATCTCATCTTTCAAAGACAGCATGGCCAGGTTTTGCTCAAGGAGAAAATGAACTTACTTTAAAAAGAAGCCTGGTTCAGAGTCTACAAAAGAGATGCAAAGTCTTCCCGCCTACCTGCCTGCACAGGATGCTCCCAGCACGAGGCTGCAAGAGATGAGTGGTGCTGATGTCCAGGTCCTTCTGAAGCCTGCAGGATGAAGGGAGCTGTCAGCATCTGGTCCGAAACAGTGGTCATGCCAGGGAGTGCAGCAGTAACAAGGCCACTGTCCCTTGCTCATGCCCTTCATGGTTCTACTCAGAGGACTGGGACCAGGACTTCAGGGGTGATGGAGAAACTATGGTTACCGTAGGAACCTGCCTCCTCTGGAATCCACCAGAAATCATTATCTCTACGCCACTTTGGGTTGTCAGGTGCTGCCTGGTTTTGTCCACTATTTCTGGGTATATCTGCTATCTTCCCCAGGGTGGAAGCCACGGAAGATGAGCGCCCCATCGTCTCTTAGCTACACTTCCCATCGTGCCAAGAACAGAACTTTGTATTGCATATACAAAAGTTAGACATCTGAGGGGATAATTTGTGGATAAAAAATATCCATAAAAGACACCCTGCCTATTCATATGGATGAGCCAACTAAAGAGAAGACACACCGGCAGAAGAATAACCATTGCATAAAATATGGAATGAGAATATTTTCCTACCAAGTTCACACCTACGTGCCCCCATTCCTGTAGTCAATGCCCACATGGACGTTTGTGAAATTTACCTCTCAAACGTTCTGGAGAGGACTAGGCTGTAGAGGAAGAGGATGACACCGTGGCTGCCTTCACCTTGGAACTGTGGAAAATGAGACCAACGCCTTTGCTTAAAAACACTGCTGATAGAGGGTAGAGGGCACACGTGTGGGTATGACATCAAGGTCTTAGGTCTAGCAAAAGCCCGCCCCCTTCCTAGGTCCTGGAAGAGCGGAGGCTCTCTTCTTCCCAGCCACTTCCTTCTCCACTTGAAGGCCACCGACGGGCCAACATTCTCTTAGTCTTCAACTTAGCCTTTCTTTCTTCTACTTGTCTTTGGTGATGCTCTTTAAATCATGGCTATGATGTACAGTCTGTTCCCTCGCAGAACCCTTGGCGTTACACTGAGCTGACCTGGTTTGCTGATCAGATCTTTTCTAGCTACCCCATTGAATTCCGAAGGAGCAGGAGACTCAGAGAAAGAGCTTTGGCATTGACAGGTGCACAAAGACACTTTTTATTCATCAGGTTCTTTTGGATTTTTTTGTTTGTTTGCTTCTTTGTTTGTTTTGTTGAGACAGGGTTTCCCTGTGTATCTCCAGCTGTCCTAGAACTCACTCTGTAGACCAGGCTGGCCTCAAACTCACAGAGATCTGTCTGCCTCTGCCTCCCTGAGTGCTGGGGTTAAAGGTGTGTGCCACCACCCAGATTTCTTTTAGTTTTATCTAAAACTTACAACAAATACTGCATCCCTCTCACGGCAGGATTTGTTGCAATGGTTAAATGCAATGATGTACAGTATACATCTTGGTTCTTGGAATATTTTGGATCCATAGAATCTGTCCCTCTTTAAGGCTGTTCTGCTTAGAACTTCCAAATGATAATTCGTGACTGTGTGGATCATATCCAAACTGCCTGATCAAATCCAAGCCTCTCAGGAGCTAGTTTAATCTTAGGTTTCTCTCAGTGTTCTTACGACAAAGCAGGCTTTGCTGGCCTCCCAGGTGTCCAGAGCTAGAGCCTCCTTGGAAGGTACAACAGCAGGAAGGGTGTTGCTAGGGCACCTTATTTTTCTTCATGGAATAGCGTGTTTACACGCATACATGTAACCTGTTACAGCACAGAACCCCCAGGCCTGAGAACAGGTACCAGTGGCGCAGGCTGCAGACAGGAATTCAAATGGGTGGTCTTCAGGGTGTAAGAGAAATGGGCAGTGTGGGGCCTGAGGCTAACTGGAAGGTTGTGGTGGATTAGTTCCCTAATTACTGCTACAACAATACCACAGCCTTGGAGGCTGGAAACAACACTAATGCTCCAAGCCCAGCACGGCTCTCAATGGGAAGGCTGAGGAGACTACTAACCTAGGTTTTAAAGGAGCCTGACTTTCCCCAGCTTTAAGAATCTGCCCTCATCTCTTCTTCATGACCATTAGCACATGTTGGCTCACGGGCCCATTACTTAGACGTTTCTCTGCCTTTGCTGGTTCTCATGCCCTCTTCTCATGAATCAGTCTGCACATTTTCCCTTTAAAAAGTATCAGCTGTTGGAACCCAGCTCCCCCTGATCCAGTCCAACCTCTTCTGATCTTGACTGCACCTTTAAATGACTTCATTTTCAAACAGGGTCACATTCCTAGGTGCGTCAATCTGTGTGTTTGCAGGGCAGGAGGAGGGGGTCCAGGGTCTCAGCGTTTCTCTTGATGGAGGAGGCGGGGTGACGGAGGGGGGTGTCAGTGGCTCAGCTGACAGCACACAAGCAGCCCTCAAATCTCTATGTTGAAATCGTTGTCTAACTAAAACGGGGTGCAGGACAGACAAGACTGATAGTAAGCAGGATGTGATGAAGGTCTGTTGATTGCAGTGTGTAGCCTTACCTAAGGGAATTCTCCCCCTCACTCAGGAATTGGTGCCTGCTCCTCCTTAGTGGGGCTGTGGTAATAGTCAGCGTGGGTTGGCTGACTGGGTCATCCCCCTGCCTCTCCATTGGCACTGGATTGTCCTCATGGGCCTAAGGCATTTCCTACTCATGCCTGCCAGGTTCTTTTTTATTTTATCAAAAAGAAAAAACAAGGTCTTACTGTGTAGCACAGGCTAGCCTTGAACTTACGATCCTGCTCTTGCAGCCTCCCTGTGTGCCCAATTCTTAGTTTTTACGGGGAAACATGTTTATAGCCTCAACTGGAATCCTCTGATCGAAACCCTGTCTACATTAGTGTAACCAAGATCGTCTACAGGAGGTGTGTAAGTCCTGGTGCCCCAGTTCCCCGCCTCTACTGCCTTTCCAATGAGTTCTAAAAATCTCAGTTCCACCCATGCGCTCCGCAGCTCATGGCTGCGTGGTTAGCCTGCTAATTCTCCTCTGCATACATTCTAGGTTTCTAATTCTTCTGAAAATCATGCTTCATTTTCTCTTTTTCCTCGACTGAAGTCTTTCAAAAGCACCTTCCACTTCTCTGCCATCATTATCCACTGCTTTGTCCCCTCTTTACCCAGGGTGGGGAAGAAGCAATGCCGTTGTGGACATTCTGATGGTGCCATTAGAAGCGCTGCCTTCGCAAGGCCCTAAGTCACTTACTTGAAGTCAGTGTGACCCGTCTTCCAGTCACCTTAGTTTTCCTCCATTCTAGCTTGCTACTCATTAGATGAGGTAAACCTGCATTAACGTTTTTCTTCTCTCTAAAGCAATCCTGGAATACAGCCTGAAAGGTGCTAGTTTCTGGGATTGATTAGCTGAAGAGAAGGAGGCATCCGTGAGTGGCCTCTGTGTGATCTGGCCTCTTCCCAGGCTGGGAGGAGGGAATGGCAGGCTTGTCTGTCCCTTGTCCTGCCCTTCCTCAGCCCTTCAAATGACCTGGTTTTCTTAACAAGCACCATTAGGAAGATGCTTTCCGAAAGAAGGAAGATCTCCGTAAGATCAGTTCCGCATAAAGGGATTACCTCAACGTTTAAACACTTACACATTGCAAATGATCATAGATGAATTTCTCAGCAGCTTCTCTCTCTGAAAATTCAAACAGCTGGAGCTACGGTTCAGGAATTGAAGATAAAAAATGAAAAGGCAGATGAAAGGTTTCTCTACGAGATATCATTTCACTGTTATTACCTAAAAGGGGGGGGGGTTGTTTCATTACAAAATTACATTGCCCAAAACTGGCATCAAGCACAAGGCCAGAGAAAACACACATGGTAAAGCCAGGTGGCAATGCCATCCCTGTTACATCTTTCAATTTTAAGTCACTATGGTACCTCAAATAATAAAACCGTGTGCAGTTTTTTTCCCCCTGATGGAGTTTAACTATCTTTATGATAGCGAATAGAGAAATGTAGCTAATGTTGATTTCAGATGTGGATTTTTTTTCCCAATTTTTGGTGGTGTGTATCAAACCCAGGGCTGAGCAGCACATTTAACCACTAAGATAACCTGAAGCCCACTATCCAAATGCAGTGTATTCTTGACTCGAGAGAACTTTAGGAGAAAGTCACCATCTTTAAGGAGAAATTCGCCATTTTGGCCACCAGGCACTTGCAGTCCTTGGTGACTGCATCTCTGAAGGTCCCTTTGGCTAATTCAGATCCTCCGTGGGGGCTGGGCTCCCATGACCATGTACATGCTGAAGCTTCATTGACTCTTTAGCTCACACACGGGCTGGAGTGCGCTTACCCTCTCAATGAAATTGTCGCTAGAGCAGTCAAGAATCGAAGTGCTATGGATGTCTCTGGTGACAAAACAGACGATGGCCTTCTGAGCTGCCCCTGCAGTCCATAGGATGCCAGCCAGCGTGGCAGCTAGGGCTCGCTCCTGCTCTCGCTGGCTCAGGTTACGTAAGCTGCAGTGCAGGCAGCCAGGGAAAAAACAGTGGAATCAGCAACCTGGTCTCTGATGTTTGTGTCCCTCTCCGAGTATGGGGGACAGCCTCCTGGCTCTCCTCTCAGCCTGCCCTGTGAGGGTGGTGCAGGATAGCCCGGCCTATCTGCATGGACCGTAACTGCAGTCTTCAGGGCAACAAGAAGGCAGCTCCCTCAGCAACACCAGCCTGTCTCATCCTAGCGCTCCCCTGTTGGCTGGCTCTGAACTCCAAAACAGGTAGCCCTGACCATGCTGCCAACTGACACAGTTATTTTTCAAGTCCAATCCCAAATTATCCTTGCAGCTTCGCCTCCCACATGTTCACTTGTAAAGCCTCTTCCCAGATGGAACCCCAAGGACTCCCTGCACATTCTGTTCCGGTGTTCCTCCCTCAGGCACGTTGCACCTCCCTTTCCACCTGGTCACGCCCCCTCCCCCAACCCCGCCCCGTGTCAGCTCACCCTGAGCCATGCTTCACCTCACTAAGTACCTAGCACACATGACGTCATTTAATGCACGAAGGTGCTCTGTGGCAGTACCACATTTATTCTCATTTTAAAGGTGAGGGAGTGAGATACAGAGTTAAGTCATTCAGGCCACCTGGATCCTGAGTCTGTGGTCTTTCCTATCACACCTCAGGGTACACCAGTGCCCCAAGGACCTTCAGCTTCTCTGGGGAGTGGGAGCAATCTTTCCTCTGCTTATTTTTTTTTTTCAAATTTTTAAGATTTGGTTCACAAAGAAACACGGACAGAGGCTAGCAGTTACTTGCATAGCTTGCCCAGCTCTTTGATGGGACGGAGTAACTGCAAAACTTGCGCAGATAGAATGACAGAAAGATGATGTCCTTACAGGGAGGAGAAGGAACTTGTGATGGGGGAAGGTCCAGGAAGGCCACACGGAGCAGGACAACCAGATCAGTGACTTATTTACACTGTATTTGATGTTCTAGCCCAGATCAACTGCTAGGCTGTACGCTTATGTAGTGAGCAAATGTGTGTTTTAGTTCAGAAATCTTACACTCTCACATGATGGGTGTGTCCCCCATCTACTCTGGGTCCTGCTCCCGTGACTCCTACTTTTCAACTTTCCTAATGGCGTGGAGTCACTTAGCAAAATGACTAAGTGATGTACTTTCTTTCCCTTTGGAGGGCCCAAGACAATGACTGTCCTGCCTCTTATCTGAAGGCAGGCACACTGAAGAGCGCCTGTGTTCCCTAGCTCCACCTTGCAGCTCACTGAGATGTCTGGGGATCCCTACCTCCTTAGGTGCTTCTCCTTCCTTGTCCTGCTTCCTCCCCCTCTTATATCGGTCTCCAGAGGGCACCCCCTTAATAAATCCCTTGCATAAAGAATTTACATCCTGGGCTCTGTCTCTACTGAATGTGTTTTTTCCTGATCTTAGAATGTATTGCACCCTGAGCTCTTGTTTTGGGTGATATACCTTATCTGGCTGGAGGATACATAGATGCCTTTGGCTGATTTTTAATCCTTTAATATCTAACATAGGGAATCATGAGAGAGGTTTCTTAGTTTCTAAGTGTGAGCTGATTCTGTAACAAAAAGGCAAGCAGAGAACAAGGTTCCATGGCGCCAGGTTAAGAAGGAAGATGGCTCCTCCAATTGTTGGCTTCTTAATGGCCGCTTGAGTCTCTCTAGGGTTGTTAGGTTGGGCCTTCCCACCTAATATGGAAAAATGAGCACCCCTGAAACCTGATGCTTGGTTTTCCTTGGCAGGTGGAGTCTGTCAAGCTTATTCTGCAGGTGAACACTGAATGTGACCTCAGGAGAAGTCCTCTCGGAGTAATCCCGCTCCTCTGGGAGAACCTGAGCCATTTCTGTTATAAAGAGTCAGACATCTTTCCTGAAGCTACCGGAGAGTTTCATTCTAGATTCATTAGGCCATCTTTTACGTGCTAACCACAGTTCTCCTACCTGTGAAGGCTGCGGTGTTTTTCCTCTCTGGAAAAGAGTAAGTGTTTGATGATGGAACCTTGCACAGCCATCTGAACGCTCTGGGCACCTCCCTGAAGTGGGCAAAGAGACCAGTGAGGTAGGAAGGCTGCAGCTGGGTACCATCCCGGCGGGACCTCGGGGCCAGCATCACAAGGAGTAAATCTTGGAATGGGATGCTGTCACTGTTTGTGCTCCGCTGCAACCTTCCCTTCCTGCTGGCCCTTGGGGCTTAGCAAAGGGACACACTCCTTTGTGTGACCATCTCTATGGGCTACAGCTGGACGCCATCACCAAGCTAGAATCTACAGTGACTGTCTTCCTGCTGTCAGCCTAATGCCTGGGGTCAAGATTCTCTCCTTCTTGTAGTTGCTGCATGTTACTTCATACCACACTTTCACATCAGAGGGAGGCAGGAAACCAGTGGACTAGCTCCTGAAATGTAGGTGTGACTAGTGACTTCTGACATGAATTCCTGATATTTCAATCAAGCCAGAAGGAGTTTCTAGAGTTCTTTCGGCCTTGTGAATCTTTCTGGGGGCTTGAAATTTGGAGAGAAGCAGCACAATGAGAACGGAGAAGAACCGGAGGAATAAAGAGACGCGGGCTTGGCTAGAGCCTGAACAATACTTGGTAGCATTAAAAAGTCTTTCATCATTCAGAGCTACACATTCATTTCTGTATTTGATTATAAGGATACGTGCACCCATAACAAAGCATAGACTAGCAAGAGGAGATTAGCAACTGGAAATGGCTGAGCCAGCTGTCACCTTTTCTACTTGTAAAGCAAAAGCCAGGTCCGAGAAGGGATGGTGAAACTTGAAATGCGCCTTCCTCCAGTCACTGCCCAGGACGTGGATGGCATTTCCAAAGAGACTTCTTTGCAACATCTGAAAAAGAGGGTGAAAAGAACAGTGAAGTGAACAAATCAGCCCAAGGTAATTTGTCCTGGACCCAACCCTCTTGGTGAAGTCATCCACCCTTGTTCTCGTCTATGTTCAGATTTGCCTCAGACTTGAGTTCCGGTTTTCATCGTATAAAAGTCCCGGGCAAAACTTTCCCAACAGGTTTACTTAGGACAGTTCCGGAAATTCAGTGCATCTGACTGTGTCTCTGTGTCGCATGTCCTCTGCCAACTCCACTGTGTGCTCCGACACAGACCACAGCTCTCTCCTGTGCCTCTTGCCCTGTTATCTGACTCCACAACGTCCATTTCTCCCATTGCTGAGGCTTCTCTCTTGATACAGGGGAGGAGATGAAGCAGACAGGACCCCATATTCCGGTCCTTAGTTCAATAGTGAATTTAATGGTCGTCATCAAGAAGTCTTGCATATTTTCCTGGATACTTTATAGTACACTGAGATCTGCGTGGGGACTTTCCAGAGAGAGAGAGAGAGAGAGAGAGAGAGAGAGAGAGAGAGGGAGAGAGAGGAACTTGTCACTTTGGTTCCTGGGTTCAGAAGGTTTAATCCTGTCTTTTATCTGTTCAATCCCATATTCTCAGGGAAAAGACATAACAGAGAAGAACAGGTAGGAAGGGTGGACAGAACAGGTAGGAAGGGTGGACAGGGACCTGTCGGAGCTAAGCTATTTTTCCTGTTTCCCATCTTACTCTGGCAGGGCCTCCAGCACACGAAATAGTGCCATTCACATTCAGGAAAGGTCTTTCACCACAATAAATTCCCCCAGAAAGCCCTCATAGGCGTATTTCAAGGTCTGCCTCCATCTCTTAGGTGATTCTGAATCAAGTCATTTTGATTATGAAAATTAACTATCTCACTATTCATAGTCAAAAGCTTAACAGTCATAACGTATTATTAATATGGCATGAGATTTGACTGCGTTAGTAGTCTAATACCCCGAAACTATGCACAGACTACACTATGTGACATTCCATAGGATGGTAAAAGTGCCATGAAATAAAAAGGGGAGGAGAGAATATTGAAACTGAATTACTCAGAAAAGCATTGTGGCAGAGGCCGGATTTGAACTAGGCTGGTAAATGCTTGGTCAAGAATTTTATGTGTTCCGAGCATGGGACTGAGTTTGGAGCAAGTTACAGTTACTATATGAAGTTAGTTCTAGGAGGAGGTACTGTTACTTGGGGGAGGCAAGCCTGTGAGAGATCATATCAATTGTGTTAACTGAAGAGAGAACAGCTCACTAAAAGTAGCTGGGATCCTGGGCTGTGTAAAGAGAAGCTACCAGAAGCATTCTCATTTCTGCTTCCCCTGCTTTGGGCCAGGTCATGACCCGTTGCTTCAAGCCTGGATGTTTTGACTTCTCTGCCATAGTGTGCTGCCCTCGTAAGTATAAATAAACCCTTTCTTTCTGAGTTGCTTCCGTCAACTTTTTTTTTTAAATCACAGTTTATGCGTCCTGGCTGTTTTGCTCTCGCATGATGTCCCCGCCATGATAGAATGAAGCCCTCTGATGCTATAAGCCAAACTTAACAAAAGAAACTAAGACACTTAGCATCTTCCTTTTATCCAGACTGGGGAGCTGGAGGCAGGGAAGGGAGGCGCTTGCCGTTGCCAAACTAGCAAAAACATCAGGGTTGCACCCATTCCTCTAAGATCTCTGCCACTTTGATGCGATGTGTTCCATCTTTATATTTCCTTTTATTTTGGTGTCCAAATCACTACTCAATTAATATTTTCACTAGATGAGACTGCCTTTGTAATTGAGCACAGGCTTGCTGTAGAAGGCTTTTCCCACTTCCTCTAGTGAGAAGCAAAATCACATGTCATATGGCGTCAAAGAAATCAAATGGACATTGGGCAGTGTTAAACAAATAGACTCTAGAGCCCAACTGGTCCAGAGCCATGGTACCTTTCTCAAGCTTTGCATAGAGCAGGTCCCTTGGGTTTGCAGAAGAATTAGGAGAAGCTTGAATCTGACATGCTCTTCCCCACGCCAGCCCAGAGGCTGCTTTCCCAGCTGGAGTTGATTTCTATCCACCTATGTGACCACCTTCAAGAAAAGGTTATGCTTCTCTTGGGGAGCCAGAGCCCAGCTCTCTGAGCTGGTTCTCAGGGCAAGGATGCAGCAAGGAAAAGCAGCAAAGATGCCCAACAGCTGCCTTTGGAAATACAAGACAAGGTGCATACTGTGGTAAAGAGGCCACTGGCCTACAATGGCAAGAGAAGCATAGCAAACCAATGAGAAGTGTTCCCCCCAGGCGCAGAGTTTGGATAGCCCAGAAGAAAGACTTGGATAAACCTGCATCTTAGGCTCAAAAGACATCTTATAGTAAGGATTAACTAGGCTCATTTCTGTTTATGATTAAACCTGTTTCTCAAGGATTGAGCTCTGCCCCACCTATAATCTTAGCCACAAATTGTTCTGCACTGCCAGTTATAGGAATGGTGAACCTGTCTTTATTTCAAAGGGGTTTTTATGACTGCCTGTTGTTAAGACTGCCTTGTTATTGCTATGACCACCCATTGTTACGACCCCTTTGTCATGAATACTTGTTATGACTACCTTGCAACCATGTCTTTGTTTTAGGGGGTTATTATGACCAACTTGTTGTGTGTACGTTCTACTTCTGTGACCCTCTATTTACTTGCCTGCCAAATACCCCACTTGGAAACCCCCTATTCCTGAACTATAAAATCCCTTATCTCATCCGGGTCCAATGCTGATCTCTTGAACCCCATCTTTAGAGTGAGACAGCCCATGCATAAGAATAAGGGTAGTGCACGGCTTTAATCCCAGCACTCGGGAGGCAGAGGCAGGTGGATCTTTGTGAGTTCGAGTTCAGCCTGGTCTACAAGAGCTAGTTCCAGGACAGACTCCAAAGCTACAGAGAAACCCTGTCTTGAAAAATCAAAATAAATAAATAAATAAATAAATAACTTGCTTTAATTAATTTGGTCATGATTTGGATCAATGCTCTTTCTCCTCAAACCCATGGGATTAACAGTTTCCAGCCCAAGGGCTGAGAAGCCGCAACTGGTCCTGACTTCACTGACCATGGAAGCATTCTTATTTCCACATTGAAAAACGGGACAGTTGATCTCATTGAATATCTTGCAGGTTGTGGAAAGAGAGGGATGGAAAGGGGCCTTGGAAACCTCGAGTGCTGAGCCAATGCAGAATGTCACCATCCACACAAAAGCACTGCCTGCCAGTGTGCCTTTGTCTATGCGGTGTGGAAGAAAGCCCAGCAGAGACTGTCTGCAAACCCAGCCAGGTTTCCTGTTGCTGTTGCTGGCTGCCACCCTCAGCTTAGCTTCCCCTTCCAGTTGCACCACTGGGTGCTCAGGAGCAGGGAACTGGAGGCTCCCCAGCCAGTGTGACAAAGATACTTATTTATGTGATGCTCATTTTCATATCAGAGATACTTACGATACAATTAATCTGAACCACACTTAAGGATATTTATTTGTTGTGCTGCCTGTGAACTACATATAAATGGCTGTGAATGATGGCTGAAATGGCCATTATTACTCAGCACACTAAAGCACAGGGTATAACGTTTCTATTTCCATAGGCTAGCTTTTTAGTATTTGTAACGTACACATTCAAACAGGTGCTCAATCATTCTCCCAACACCCAGGATCTGAACTGGATATGGATGCAGTCAATCCACAGTGAACGTGTCTGTGTGGCACTTGTGTGAATGATGATCACTGTTGATGTACGTGGGCCTTCTGTCGATGTGTTATTTTCATTGGTCAATAAAGAGACTGCCTTGGCCCTTTGATAGGACAGAAAATTAGGTAGGCGGAGTAAACAGAACAGAATTCTGGGAAGAAGGGAAGTGAGGCAGACGCCATGGAGCCAGCCACCACGTCAGACATGCTGAATCTTTCCCAGTAAGCCACCACCTCATGGTGCTACACAGATTATTAGAAATGGGTTAATCAAGATGTGAGAGTTAGTCAGTAACTAACTCTCTAGAGATAATGGGCCAGGTAGTGTTTAAATGAATACAATTTGTGTGTTGTTATTTCCAGGGCTAAGCTAGCCATGCGGGAGCCGGGCGGGATGAAAAGCAGGCCTGCCCGCAACTCCCGTTATCACAATCATCCTCTGCTAGGATGGGACGTAGAGCCAGGAAAGAAAGGATTTTGTCACAAGTACAAGACTGTTTAGGAACCTGTGGGTGTGGGGTCACCACAGTGGTTTGTACGTGTGTGGGGTCTCAGGGCACACAACGGTGACAGGGCAAGACGGTGCAAACATTCCTCCATCTTGGATTCTTGCTGAGGCCCTTTGAAGTTTAGCTGGAATCTGGTCTCCTTGATGGAGAATCCCAAGGAAAATTACCCATTCTGTTCTAGGAACCCAAGGTCAGGACTTAGTCTTTCCGGGCAGGACCTCCTAGAGATAACCCCTCAAGCTTCTGCTGAACTGCTTCTTCTGCAAAGAACCCTGTCCCACCTCCGCAGCTGCCAAGCAAGACGCCAGGATGTGGGTTTTACCTCCAAAATCCTGCGCTCTGGACACTCAGGGTTACACCCAGCTAGATCCCAGAATATCTGGTTGTGGTCCCGGCTGGCTGGAATAAGACCTTCAGTTGGTTGTTAACTGTGGTCGTTTCTGGTGGCCCTACCCATAACACAAGAGCGGGAGTCATAATTTATGACCTCGAGGTGGGAGGAGTGGGGTCTCGAGCTACAGAAAGGAGCATTCTCACCTTGTTGACTGTCCTTTCTCTCCCAGCAGTCTCACCTTAGCAATCTCCATTGCTCAAACCCAGCAGAAATCAGAGTAAAGGTTTGCCTATTGATAGGAGGTGTTCCATTTATAGAAACTCTACAGTTCAAGTTCATGGGCAGAAAGCGTGATGGAAAGTTCGTAGCCCATTTCACTAATGGGTCCTAAGATGCCTCAGAGGGATATGCAGAGGCAGAAAATCAAGAACTCCCTGTCTATGAGCCAGACCTCATGCTAGTGTACCAGCTTCTGCCTTCTTACACACACACACACACACACACACACACACACACACACACACACACCTGCTATTCCTCCAGCAGAGTCCATCGCTGGTCTCTTTTTTTTAAAATATTTATTCATTTATTATGCATTCAATATCTGCCTACATGTGTGCCTGCAGGCCAGAGAAGGCACCAGATCTCATTACAGATGGTTGTGAGCCACCATATGGTTGCTGGGAATTGAACTCAAGACCTTTGGAAGAGCAGGCATTGCTCTTAACCACTGAGCCATCTCTCCAGCTCCCCATCGCTGGTCTCTTCATAGCACTTTTTTACTATGAGATTTGTGGGGAGTTTTGCAGCTATATCAGGGGTTTGTTTATTGGTTGCCAATAATAGGTGACCTGGATGTGTTTCAAGCTGGGTGTCCAAGTCTGGAAGTGGAAGAGGATAGGGATTGTGGACCACAGGGCTGGAGAACTATCAGACAGGACTGGGTAAGAGCTCAGGGGTCGTGACTCTTTCTGTTTCATCAGCGGCTGTCACATCATCTCATCCACCAAGTCAGGGAGGGTAAAAGCTCTAGTTGGAGACAAAAGACAACCAAAGGTGAGGAAAGGGAGAGGTGAGGCTGGGGCGGGTGGTGAGTTGCTGCATCCCACCCCGCTTCCTGGGGGATTCCCAGCCAAGATACAGCCCGGTGGCCTGTCAGAAACCGTCATGCATCAAGAGCACCAAGAGCTACACAAAAGACGTTCGGCGAGTGTTTTGACTCCGAGGCTCTGATAATTTGCCAGGCGGCTGCACTCCCGAAATGCTGATTAGAGCTGGTCAAGCTTCCAAGACTCCTCCCCGGAACAGGCGCCCTCAGACTCCCAGAGCTCCCTGCTCAAGTCCCAAGGTGTGTTTAATAATGCGGCCGCTATTCAGAGGACACGCGAGCATCTGGGCCACATAATGGGAATAAATCCAAATTCATTTTTTTAAAGAAAAATCAATTCTCTCTACTTCTGGGACTTCCTTAACACTCCATCAACTCTGTTTCCACTGCACGGGTCTGAATCTTTTGTTTTACAGCCTTTTCCAAGGGGAGAGAAACGCCTTCGGGAGGGTGGGGAAGAGCTCCCCTGGCCACTGTTTGTGTTTGCTAGTGAGGCAAGCTTGCAGATCTGTGCTCCCCCGCCTCCCCAACACAAGGCTTCCAAACATCTGTGAGTGCTTTTTTTATTTTTAAAATTTGTGTGTGTGTTTTAAAAATAGACAGTACTTTGTGTGGCTCAAAAGCCAGAGTACAAAATGTGTACTGTGAAAAAAAAAAAAAAAAGGATCCCTCTGGTTTGTCTCCTTGCCTCCCTCCCCCCCCTTTGTGGCCTAGGAAGCCTTGCAGAATTTACTTCTTTATTTACAGGCAAATACCAATATAGAATCACAATTTTCTCTCTTTTCTTCCCACATAAAAAGTTGGTAAGTTTTTCAGACATGTAAATTTTAAAACGATACTCTACATAGAAATTTCTTACAGATGACAAGAACATTATCTTCTCAAGTAACATGCATAAACAAGCCGAATGACCCTCGTCCAGAAAGCCCGGGATGTCATGGGTTTCAGATTCTGGAATATTATGCGTGCACACTCTCGTGTGTGTGTGTGTATGTGTGTGTGTGTATGTGTGTGTGTGTGATAGGACACCTTGGAAGCAGGGCTCAATTAATATGAAGCTAGCTATAGTTCTTAAGCCCAAGGCACAAAGGTAGTTGCTATGACATTCACAGTGCCTGTGTTTTTGCTGCAACATGAGATCAGATGTGCAACTTCCCTTTTGTCACGTAGGTACACAAAAGAGTTTTGGAGCATTGAGGTACCGGACCAGACATGAACAGGTGTATTACTGTAACTTCTGAACTTCATCACAGTATGGGCGTCATAACTTCTGAGGCCTACAGCACGCCCAGGATTGCACACTACTGTTCATTATTTAGAGCGAGAACAGCTTACTGGAGACGTAAGACACAAGTTGAGACTCCATCTCAGGCTTCACAGCCAGAAATGAAGTAGAGCGTCTTGGGTCTGCCTGATCTCCTGTGAGCCAGGGAGAGAAGAGAAAGAAGGGTGGGCGAGAGACGGAGCTGCCTGTGAGGAAGGGCACCCACCCTTGGAGCCCGAGAAGCCCAATGAAGACTTTATATGATAGTTCTGTGGTTTCAGTCCCTGCTCGTTGCTCTCCAGTGGGCCCTGCACAAGCTGCAGCCTCCACGTATGTGACGGGTCTGACCACACAGCAAACCCTACTGCTCTTTGCCGAGACACTTAGGCTGGTTTTGGTTGTCTTTGCAACGGTCCAGGTGCACAAGCCTTTGAAGGAAGAGCTTCTTCTAACTCCACTCCTCAGCCTTTGTGGTTCTCGTGTGTGGCACAGACATTTGGAGGACGGGTGAGAGTGTGGGACATTGTCTTGGAGGCTGGAGTGTCATTGTGATTTAAGGATCCTATTGGAGGGCGGTCTAATCAGAGGGAGCTCCTGCCCTTGCTGGTATTTCTTCCTGGATTAACCTTACCTCACTCACAGCCTTCAGCTGTGTCTTCTGACCATGGCACAAGCTCCTTCTCACAGCTAGGACCTTGTCTCCAGCCCAGGCTTGCTTGTCCCTCTAGAGTGCCTCTGGTTTTATTCCCTGGCCAGGCTTCTGCCAAGACTCTCACTCTCATGAGGATCGAGACTTGAATTCAGTAAACCCTCTCTGAGGCCAGAAGTTGCCAGATCACCTTAGCACCTCATATATCAAGTTCTTTTTTGTTTGTTTGTTTGCTTTGAGACAGGGACCTTGTATGTAGTGCCTGCTGTCCTGAACTCACCATGTAGACCGGGCTGGCCTCAGACTCACAGAGATCCTCCTGCCTCTGCTTCCTGAGTGCTGGCATTAAAAGTGTGTGCCACCATGCCTGGTCTGTCAAGTTCTTTTGACGTCTATATATTAACAGCTCTCCAAATGGTTTCCTTCTGAGATCAAAGCCTTGTTCTAAGATCAGATCTAGAAAGCCTCTCTGTCTCTCTCTTTCCTGCCTGTTCCTTTTACACATCTGTAACACGCTCATCCATCTGTCAAATAAAGGGCCTGTTCTAGTGTATGCTAAACAACAAACCATTAGAATGGAACTCTTGCCCTCCCTCAAATATAACTGAGGATGTAAAGAGACCTAGAAACTGTGAGGAAAAGACAGTCACCACCGGTGTCCTTGACAAACACCATAAATAAGTCATGTTAATTGTATACTCCTTTTACCAATAACAGCCGTCTGTGGTCTCTTCTTCCGTAATACCCTCTCATGACAGGAGATTTAGTTCCCCAGTGCTACTGGCTGGCGGAAGATCACATTTCATCTCGTGTTTAATTGACACACTCTACTTACCGTGGCCATCGTTGGGGAGATGGGCAAACCACTCGGTTTTGAAGAGACGGTGGAGAGTTTGGGGACAGGACAAAAGCTACGGGATGGCACCTGTTCTTGTCCTTTGGGCCGAAGCATTCCCGGTCCGTCTCCAGTTTCCTCAGCAGATACATGGCTGCCATCACGATTCTGTGTGAAATGACATCCGCCAGTAAAGCAAGCAGCTAGTGAAGACCTAGCTTCTAAGTCTGCCAGTGTTCGGAAAGCGTCGTCTCACTTTTAAAGCTGTCTAAGGCTGTGATAAACAGTCCCGAAGGGCTGGAAAGGCCCAGTGTCTGTATCAAAGGAGTGTCTCCTGAGTTTGATGGGACTGGAAGTGAACTGTAACTATGGAAACATAATTAATGCTACCAAGACCTTGACTTGAAAGTACGTTTAGAGAAGAATACAAATGTCACCACGTCTTGTTTTGGGATGCCAGCATTTTGTAAGTGTTGAATGAGTTATCCGTCTAGGCCAGGTTATCTTTGTTATCTTGTTAACCGGACAATCAAAGAATTGGGTACTACCCTTGCCCTTAATTCTTTCTGATTCATTTGTCCCCTCAAGGGACTGTGATTCCTAAAACACTCACTTCCATCTTTTAAAAAAAAATCTATTTTTGCATTTCTTGACCTATGCTTGTGGCATTTCTGTGTTAGTTAACATCAGCCCTTAATTGACTCATTCCTATACCAGTGTTCTGAAAACAGCTTCCCGGCCACTGCCTTCTTAGTGTTTCTGTTCTCCTAGAGGTGAGGATGCTTTCTTATCTCATGAACACAGCATCTGATTCACAGAAGCTGATGGGCTGAGATGAATTTTGTAACCCGAATGGAAAATCATCACCTTCATACCAATGGGCTTTCCCATCCTGTGTCAAGCCATAAGTTGGCATTTATTTATGCCTTCCCTTCGAAAGCCATCTTATCTTTGGAGTGTTCTATCTCCCCAGTGGTAACTATCAAAATTTAATATTTCCAGCACTAAAGTAGAAACATTATCTTCCTGATTCTAATTTAGACTAGGGCTAAGGGGGCTTTAGAAAAAATAAGGCTTTGCTTACAAGTTCTTCACAAGAAGGGAAGTGCTTTAGCCGTGCAGTTAAACTACTGACAATTCAATTGCTTAATCACATGTATTAGTGCCAGGAAAAAAACTTACCTTAATGGTTTGTGCTGCCTTGGTTCAGAGATTGAAGTATATCCTGAAATTCAAGGTCATTACCTTACGCTTTTAGGCTATATGGATTACAAACATCTTTCATTTCATATTGTATAAGAAACTGGAAAATGCCTTTACAACACCAGAATATAATTTTATGCCCCTTGTTTGAAAACGGCGAGGGAAAATAATTTTTCAGAAGCCAATAAAGTTAATTATGATTAAAACTACTTTTCTTTAGGGACACGACCACACTCAGTTGCTACAGTGTAGCTTTGTTTTACAAGTGTAGGAACTTTTCTATTCTTATATCACTTTTCCTAAATAATAGCAATATGGTGTGCTTATTGATGAAAAATAGTCCTTGAAAGTAGGGAGAGGCCGGGCAGTGGTGGTGACACCTTTAATCCCAATACTCGGAAGGCAGAGGCAGGCAGAGCTCGGTGAGTTCAAGACCAGCCTGATCTAAAGAATGAGTTCCAAGACAGACTCCAAAGCTACACAGGGAAACCTGTCTCAACAAACAAACAAATAGGAAAAAGAAGAATGGAGAGAAATTTATGAAGAAAACCTCTCCCACGGGCTTTTAACCTTCCTAATGGTTCCACATGTTCAATGCCGGAGCCTGGGTGACATTGTGTGCACTGCATACATGCAAATCATGCTGTTCAGTGTGACTGTGTGAAGAAGCAGCTAGAGAAACAACACACTGGATTTGAGGAAGCAATTACCTGAGAATCTGTGCTGTTGGTTCTCAACCTGTACGTGAAAGAGAAAACAGCAGGTGAATCACTGAGTCTACTCAAACCTCACATCCTCACACCTCCCCAGACCCCACCTTGCTAGAACCTCTCAGCAAGAGATGTGCGGGAGGCCTTTTAACTGTAAGTCTATGACGAAAACTTGTCATGTAACAAACATAAATATCTTTGGCTCCCACACCTTGGACCCCTGTTTTGGAGGAATGAGGCAATGACAGCTCTTACCTATGATTCTTACCTGAAGATTCCCCTCCATCTGTTAAGAAATAAAATTTCCCTAGTAATCTCATTTAAATCCAGCCCGAGAGGACTCTGTTCCTGGACTGAGATCTCTGTGTCCATTTAGAGAAAGCGACGACTTAGAATGAGGAGGCTGTTGAGATGGGAGAAGCAGCCTTACTGTGGAGAGAAGAGGCATCTGGAACACAGAGCTCCGGCTCCACAGTTGCTGCTCTGAGCAGATTCCATTAAACTTTCATTAGAGGTGAGGTACGTTTTTGAACTTTTGTCCACTGTGTAGGTGCCATGAATGTTTAATCCAAGATAGGTTTATAAACAAAGGGATTTCAATTACCTGCATCAAATCATGGGAGATAATGTAACCGATGAAACACTATGCGGGCGTAATGGGATTGTTCCTTGTGCTAGACTGTCTCCTGGAAAGGGTTAGTGGAGCAGAAGTGTGCTGACACTGGGGCTGAGAACCATCCTGATCACATAAAGAAATGTTTGTATGGGCCAAGGACGACACTGGCTAACAAACAGATGTGCGGCGTAGAATTTAGCGGACAGAAATCTGGCACAAATGCAGGAGGGCGGGTGCCAAGGAGAAATCTAAAAGTCCTATCTCTCCCTGTTGGCTGAATGCATTGTACTTATAATAACTGGCATAATAAAAATTATTAGTGGTCGCGACCATGCAGGTTTTCCTGCCAGTTTGACTGCTGATGCAAAGACAGGGGATTAGTTGCCAGCGAGTTTTGTTCCCTCCTCTGACTACTGGGTGTTAAAACTGAACATCTTTAAGAGACCATTTTCTCTGTAGATGTCTCTGGACATGAGTTCCATAAAATCCTAGGCATGCAAAGAAGTCACTTAGATTTATTGTAGCCAAAGTGGTCAGGCCTCAGAGGACTGGTGGCTTATATTACTGCAAAGACCTTGAAGCATAGCAAGGCACTACATGCACAGGCGAATTGTGGATTCCACAAGGCACAGTCCAACTTAGGAGCACTCCACCACTGTTTCTTAGACTAATTTTAGGTGATACCAGCCATTTCATATTTACATGCCCTGTAAATGTCTACCAGATTTAGCGTGCTCCTGTAAACCTAAGAGGTATAAATAAATCCTTTCTTATTGCCTCTCTTAAACCATAAATTTTATTCCAAAAAGATAAAAGTCTTCTGCATTTTCCTCTTTATAATTTCACAGTTTTAATGGTGGTATCAGTGTTTAATATTTATTGGGCAGCTCTACTACAGAAAAAGAAATAAGAGATTGCACAATTCTTGTTCTCAACTAATATAATAATGAGAAATGCTCTCAAAATTCCTATTTAGAAAACAGTATTAAAAAAATAAATTCTCGATGTGCCATTTAAATTATTTAGAGGCTGCAAAGCCAGGAAAGGAGAACAGCTGAGAAGGCCATTTTTCTTAGGAATCATTATTAACTCTGTGTTTGGGGTTATGTTTTTGTTTAACTTGTATAGATGCTTTGAAGATAGACACATAAATCCCAGTGATTAGACAAGCTACCAATAAACATGAGGGGCACTTGCAGATGCCAAGGTGAATAATATGTTCTCATTCTTTATCGTGGAGGAAACACACACACACACACACACACACACACACACACACACACACGGGAAAGGCTGTGAGGCAGCATGGAGCAGGAGCCAGAAAAAAGGCAGGCTAGCTGCACAGTCTCCAGGCTTGAGCTACTTACCTCTGGGCCATAGCTTCACCCACTCTAAGTTGCCTTGGACGAATTATTTAATTTTTTTGTACATTAGTTTATCATTTGGGCATTAGGGACGGATTGCTATCTTTATCTATTGAGAAGTCTAATCTATGAACATGGTATAACCTCCTATTGAGACCGTGTTTATCCTCTAAATGCCCTATCGACTTAATCCAAGAGTTGGTTAAATCAAATGATGATGGCCATTTAAACATACTCAGTATTCCTGAGCATCCTTTGCTCAGGCTCTCTCACACTTCTGTCCCCAACTTGGGGATAGTTTACACTCTCACGACTTTCCCAATCTTTCTTTTTCCTTTCCCGTTAGGTGTTGTCTAATACTATTTTAAGATGTGCTACATTTGTTTGTGCTGTGGAACATTTGTTTAAGAATGCAAAGATGTGTTGCCTTCTTTCACGTTGTATTTGTTTAACTCTGTGAAGCTTTGTCACTTTGCCTGCCTAAAATACCTGTCTGGTCTAATAAAGAGCTGAATGGCAGGAGAGGGATAGGTGGGGCTGCCAGACAGAGAGAATAAATAGAAGGAGAAAAAGAGAAGAGGGGGGAGCGAAAAAGGAGAAGGGGTGGAGGCTTCCAGGGACCAGTCACCCGGTCACACAGCCAGACACAGAGGAAGGTGTAAAGAAAAGATGTCTGGAAATAGAAAAGGGTAAGAGCCCAGGAGCAAAAGGTAGGTGGGATAAGTTATGAAAAGCTGGCTAGAAACAAGCTATGCTAAGGCCGGACATTCATAAGAAAGAATAAGTCTCCCTATATTTATTTGTGAACTAGATGGTGACCCCACCCAAAGAGTAAAGAGTGAAGAAAAGCCCTACATTCAGAAGCTGGCAGAGATCCCACAGGGATAGAGGGCTGATTCTGGATACCAAGAGTTAGAAATGAGGCTTAGGCACCTCCAGCAGAAGCTACCAGTCTTTAGTGCATCTGGTCAAAAGTCATAGAGTGGAAGAACTGGATATAAAAAGTGTAGTGAACAGAGAAGATGGAACTGTGAGATCCCAGACTGGGGCTGGAGGGCTGGGGTAATAAAAAACACAGGACTACGATTCCTATTCTATTTTATACCTTTTCCTTCCCCCACAGCATCCAGTCACCCCATGTTCCTGCCCAAGACTGCTTTGGATGCAATGAAGAGGTGTGTGTGTGGGTAGTTTGAATATGGAGTATGGAATTTCTACCATGAGAAAGCTAGTGCGGATTTCAAGTGTGCAGGTGGGGCGCACGAGAAGGTAACGGCATCCAGACTTGTGATGCTCCTTTGGAAAGCAATGGTTAATCATTATTCATCTTCCTTAGTTCAGCCTTCAAGTCAAATCTGCAAGCCTTGCACTTACACAAGCATTTTCATTGGTTTGAGAGATTACCCCCAGCTTTCTCTCTTGCTGCTTTCATGTAATAGTTCGCTAACCGAAAGACGAAAGCAAGATTTCAGAGGCTTTCTGTTTCCTTCTGAAAGTCTTGTTAGTGTTCTTTCTGGAAAAGTCTTCTTTAGGAGCAGGTTAAAGTCTGTAGGCATCCCTATCCATTTTCTCCGGACCTGCCTTCTGACGTGGAACATTCTGGATATATTCCTTCCTAAAACAATTTTGCTATTTCACATTTTCTAGGAGATAGCTGATGTATTTTCCTTTTGTTCTTTGCTACTGTAGTGAGGAGAGGGAAGATGGGGTCAGGCCCAGGGTCAGATTTCTGCTCTTATAACAATGTAACCCGAGAGAAGTTGCTCAGTCTCTTACTTCCTTTCCCTTCTCCCTTTGTCTCAAGTAATAGAATCCTAATAATTATGACTCACCAGAAAACTTTTAATCTGTTTTCTCATCTTTTAAATGTTAAGAGTCCCCTTTAAATTTTTTGTATTTGTGTTTTATTTATTTATTATTTAACTTTATTTTCCAAGTGGCAGCAAGAGTTTTGGGCAGGTCAGAAACTCCAAAGTCCTGAGAGAGTCAACGGACATTGGTCCTAACTCAGTCTGTTGGCCATTGGCATTTAACCACTCAATAATGGCCGTGGGTCTCAGTCATTACCTAAAAGGCCTTTAAAGCTAGGGTAGTATATGGAAACTATCTGTTTGGTTTTACACCTGCTTCTAAAAGCATGGGAATGCCTGAATAAGGAAGGAGGGAGATGATCCTTTCTACGGCTGGTAGTTTAGAACAGGTTAATTGCTGGCAGGATTGTGATTAGATTAGAAGCTTGGAACTTTAAACTGAAACCTCTGATCTCTGGGGAGTGAAAAACATTCATCTCCAAAGCTGATGGTTCAGTTCATCAGTAATGCCAAGGTGAGACCATACCTAAGAAATAGGATCTAGGTAACTTCTCATGCCTAAACACCAGAAGGAGGTGTGCCTCCTCCCCTGGGGACAGAGTCTTCTGCCCCTGGAACCTGTCCAGACCTCCCCTTATGAATGGCTTCATCTTGTTCCTTATTTGCATCCTTTATGATAAATATAAGGAAGATTTCTGAGTTCTGGGATCCAGTCTGTCAAATTACCTGGGTGTCTTGGGAACCATTGTTTTAGACCCGGTTGGTCAAAATGAGTAACCGTTACAGAGGGGTTAAAAATGTTGAAAGTCAAAATGGAGAGGGGACTGTAGCTAAGGGGTGAGGAGTCTGCTTGTGTATCAGGTCCTTCTCTTTTCACTATTACCAGTCAGAAGTGACTCAAAGGGGTATTTATTTTGAATCACAGTTCCATAGTAACATGGATCACAGTTCCATGGTAGAGAAGATGCGGTGGCTAACACAGATCATAGTGTCTTGATAGAGAAGGCATGGTGGATTGCTCACATCTTGGTAGATGGGATACAGGGTTCAAGGTGGGGAGTGAGCCAGGCTATAAGCCCTCCCACAAGCACTGTGGTCTGTTATCTGTCAAAAGGTTCCGCCATCTGCAGAACAGCGCCACCAGCTGGGGACCAAGTGTTCAAACATATAGACCTGTCCAGGACAGTCGGCTTTCAACCCTGGACTCAATGCAAGCTCTGCAAACAAAAATAAATGTATCTAATACACTTAACCTACCGCCATAGGTCAGTCTCAGCTGTCTTAGACATGCTCAGGGTACTTAATCAACAGAGAAGCCAAAATCACCTGATCCAAGCCTATCTTACATCAGTGTCGAATATCTCCTATAGTTTATTGAAAACCAGGAAGGTCATCTGGATAAGCTTTCCTTTGGTGCCTCAAGTATTATTACAGAGGATCCAACAACCAATACATACAATACACAAGTCTTAAAGCCAGCCTTTCTTACTGGGAACCATTATTTCTCTTTGTACAAATTATCACAGACATGATGGTTCAGGAATCTGGGCATGGCTTAGCAGGAACCGTGCTATGGGTCTC